AAAAAAAAAAAAAAAATCAAAGCTAAAAAAGGACAAGAGATAAAGAAACTTCATTTTTAAACTTAGCAATCCTTTAAGCCTCAATTTCATCTCCATTCATGCCACTGCCAGAACATTACTTTAGCTGCAGGAATGTTTTCCACCTTTATTTCGGGTAACTGGAATCCCACCCAGTACATGGCTTCGAATCCTCGGCACTGAGTGAAATATATCTCCTACTTTATCTTGTGAACCACCTAAGGGACAGAACAGCTCAAACGTGATCCATGCCAACCTTCCTTTTACAAAGGATGAAATTACAATGGAAAACCTGGGTACTCCTACCCTAGCACATAGAGGTAGAACCTCCAACCCTGTCAAAAAAAATACAACCTAGGGGCGCCTGGGTGGCTCAGTTGGTTGAGAGTCCGACTTCGGCTCAGGTCATGATCTCGCAGCCTGTGAGTTCGAGCCCTGCGTCGGGCTCTGTGCTGACACCTCAGAGCCTGGAGCCTGCTTCGGATTCTGTGTCTCCCTCTCTCTGCCCCTCCCCCACTCATACTGTCTCTGTCAAAAATAAACATTAAAAAAAATTTTTTTAATTAAAAAAAATACAACCTAAGTACATCAGACAGCTTGATAATTTTATTATTTATTCCAATTTTCATCTTTGAGAATACCACTGTAGAATTTATATGAAGTTTAAACTATTTTCAATCATACTATACAGACATGGAAAAGAAACAAGTATGACCCACATTAAAGGAGTGTAAAGACAATTCTCACATAAAGGGGATGCATACCTTACAAGTAAAACCTACAAGTACTCTACAGAACAACGCAAAACGTTTAATACGTGTTTTTCTAAACTCAGCTAATAACAGAAACCATTTTCTAAATACCTAAAGAATGAAATCTCAAGAAGGAAAAAGAAAACTTAAAAAACAACATAAGCCTCCTTTTCAACTCAAACGTAGAAGAATTTTATAACCCAAACTCGAAGAATCGTTCTCTCCAGGACGCTTATAAAGAAAAATGGTTAAAGCAAAACTCAACAATTTCCAAAGTACTATCCACACAAAGCAGCAGCCATGTTTGAGAGTCCCCACTCCTCCCCAAGCATGATTTTAAAATGTTAAACCTTAAACCCAAAGAGCAGGTTTCTTTGTCTGGGCTTCTATCTGCCGCCCATTCCCTGTCCCATCAGATACCTGATATGGTTTCAAACCCTATGCACAGATGATCCCTGAAATTAAGTTTCCTACTAACGAATGCAACGCAATCCCCATGCTTTCTTTGCCCCAAATGATGGCATGAGTGTGGAGAAAGGGAGAGTTGAGGTTTCCGTCTTGATGCAGGGCACAGTTAGGTGGTGCCACTGGCTCAGACCCTTCTCGGCTGAGGAGCATCCTCCAGTCTTTCGAGAACTTTAAACAGGTTAGGTGCGGTATATATCGAAGTCTAACCTCCCTCCATCGGGTCCCCAGGTACCACAAGACATTGAGAAGAGTACGTACTCAGGCCCCGGCAACTCCTGAGCACACGGATAATACGGGGATGCACAGCTAGGGAACACACGAGCTTCCGAAGACTCTGACCACACCACATTGAGCCCAGCAAATTTGGGGACAAACGGTTTGACATCTGCTGACAACTTGATGCCCTGAGGGAAAAAAAA